CTTTTCTCCTTTCTAGTGAAGGAGGCCACGGTGGGAACAGAGGCGGCTTCCGTGCGGCTTGGTGGCCGGTGCCTTCTGCCTTCTATGGGCCAGAACGGCTCACGGGGTCTTTCTTCTCTCCCTGGGTCTGCAATCACTCACAGCCAGCCTAAAGCTTCCCTCTGTGAAGAACAGAGACAGGAGGTGAAAGAGGTGGAAAATCATTCCCAGTTTTTAAGAACCTGGGGGAGTGAGCCAGTGCAGTGTGGGGGTGTCGGGCTCCCGCCCAGACAGCTCTCTGTGACAATTCCCTCCCGGCCTGAAAGCAGCTTCCAATAATAAACGGTGACATTTACACAAATATTTGTGGCTGTGCTTTCCATTTCTTCTTATAGGAAACAAGGAGGGTTTTGAAATGCTTTCACGATGTGATCAGGAGACAGTAGTGGGAAAGAATTTCCCCGAAACTTGACTTGCAGTGGAAATAAGGAAGGTGTGGAGAACCGATCCTGTTGCAGCTGCTGGGGATCCCGCACTTGCCGACCTCTGGAGCCCCGGTGTTGTGAGGGCACTGCTATTAACACGCATCCTGCAGAGGCTCTTCCTCCCCGGAGCCCATCGGGCCATCACAGCACTTGGCAGCCGTGTCCTGGTCTGTTGCTCGCATTACCTGCGCTGCAGTGCGTTTTCCTTGTGTGGGCTGTGGGAAAGGAGAAGAGTGGAAAACATCTCAGGGCCCGGGAAGCAGCATGTGGAAGGTGGCCCAGCCCTCCTCAGGTCCCTGCTCTCTGGCTCCACCAGCTGCCACCTCGTGGGCTGCCACGCGGACCAGCAAGGAGGCTGTGTCTTGCTGGTGTCCAAAGCGCAGGAGGACAGGTCCCCCCCTACCTCAGTGCCCTCAGATGATTTCATTTGGTTTTAAGTCTGAAATGGTGGAAGGTAAAGCCTCTGCTTTCATTCTTTTGACTTTGAACAAAACCAATCAGGGACAAGCAACTTCCGTGGTCAGAAAGCATTTCCAGGAAGTTGGTAGTGAGAGGCTTGAACTGATGATTTAAAAGCGCTCTTGTGGGCGTGGTGTATCACTGCACCTTGGCACAGACCTTGCAGGGGAGGATGGCAGTTTCTTTAGGACTCGGGGTGGGGAAAATCTGAAGAGCAAGGGGTCTTGGGTGCAGTGGAGCGCTTTCCAGGACGGGCAAATTCAGGGAGGGTATCCGTGGGCAGGCAGCCCTAGGCTGGATCCTGTGCATGTGTGCATATGCATGTGTGCAAGTGTGCTAACGTGTATGTGTGTGTCTATGTAAATGTGCATGCATGTATGAGTACATGAGTGTAGGCTCCATGTACCTGTGCCAATATGGGAGTGTTTTCCACTTGCTTCTAGCTCTGAGACACCGTGTCACACTATTGTGAGACTTAAGTTCAGGAATCATAGATAGACCAAAGGTGAAATCCAGATGCCAGCATTGTCTAGCTGTGTGACCTGTAGCTTAATCTTTTAGGGCCTCAGTTTCTTCATCTGTAAAGGGGGATAATAGTATTCTTGTCATGGTGGCTCCCAGGAGGGGGACTGTAGGAAGTGACTTGCATCATGCTTCATGTTCAGAGCTGTCAGTATTGAGAACGTGGGTGCCAGTAATCGGTTGCTGCTTCCTTCACAGTTCCTGGAGATTTTCCTTCCTCCCCTTTCTCTCTCCCTTCCCCCCACCTTTCTTCCCCTTTATTGCTGATTGTCTGGCTCCCAGCAGCTTGAGGCTCTTGCTTCAGAGGTGCCTTTTGGCCACTATTGGCACAGCATGTCCCTCCCTGCATCACAGCCATCTTATGGTTCTGTTAGCTGTAGATGACAAGGGACAAGGGATGCTCCCCTACCTGCACAGCAGTGCTGGATACAGAGTCCCTTTCAGAGGCACTCCGGTCGCAGAACTGCCATGGACTTGAGTTCCAAGGACCACTGAAGACACTGAGGACATGGAGGTACCTCATGTTTGAGGATGAAAGGAGACTGGTGTGGAATCCTCCTGCTACAGCTGTCCCTCAGCTGCTCTGGACGCTGCCTTGCAGCCTCATTTGACAGCTCGGATTTCTCTTTCCTGAGTTTCCTCCACAGGGAAACATCATATTTTGAAAGCTGCTCAGTAGGTAGCGATTTCACAGTTGTTTACTTATTCCCCCGACAGATATTCAATGTACAACTCCAGGTGGTAGGCACTGCACTGGGCCCTGGACAAGGAGCCACTGTAGACACCGGGCCTCATTCCGAGTACTGGGATTATAGACAGCACCACCACACCTGGTTAGAATAGTAGTTTTAAAGTGAAGCATCCATGAGCTGGGATTGTTTAGGGAAAATGAGGTGACAGTATTTGTATTTAAGCCTTCTTAAAAAATTCAAGAATATAAAGAATGAGATGGGACATGTCACAAGGCAGGCAGTGGCCACATACTGTGTTGTGGTTTGTTTAAACATCCCCCTCCCCCAGATCCTCATGCAGGCATGGAGGTGGCTGAGTCTAGCGCTTGTGATTGGTTCACTGTCTAGTGTTGCGATTGGTGGTGTGAGCGCTGCACCACCCAGGGATGGGTAGTAGCATACAATGTAGGGAGGGAAGGAGTTCTGCTTTTTCCTTTCCCCTTTTGCTCTTGTTGCTTGCAGCTGCATGAATAGCTGCCCCTCAGCCATGCCACCCTGCCTTGGAGCCAGCTGAACATGGGCTGAAACTTCCAAAAACTGTAAGCTAAATAAACTTTTCCTTCCTTCATTTTGGGCATCAGGTATTTTGTCTCAAGAATGAGAGAAACGTAACTAAGACATACTGCTTGGCTCTGTAGGTGCTTAGCACCTTGGTCTTCCTCTTAAAAGGTTACAGAAGGTTCCTTTTGCTTTTACTTTTCAGCCAGAGACTTGATGAAATAAATCAACTAGATAATTAAATTAAAGAGTAGATACTCATAAACGCAAGTAGTAGAATATGCAGGGCAAGATAGCACATCTTCATCAGCAACTACACTGGGAGATTCCTGGGAGGGACAAGATGACCCTGAGCAGGAGGGTGATGCAATAATGTGAAGGTCACTAAGGAAGTGGGCAGCCCTGGGATGAAGCCCAAGCAATTCACTGTACTTTTCTGTCTGAAGATTAACCTCAGTCTTGCCTCTAGGATGCAGCTCTCCATTTCTATGGCCCATAGCCCACCCCATTATTCCCATAAACTACAGATCCCCCATGCTGACATCTCTGCTCTCTCTATAGGCTCTTACAAGTACATCTACTAACACACCATGAAAGATGCCCATCTGTTAGTGACCCCCACACTCTGTCTCTTGTCCTAGACACCCATATTTCCTTCCCCTACAGTCTATCTCCCTTGGAACAATTTGCCACCAGCTCACTCACCATGCCAGATGAGACACCTCTCATCTTCACCCCTCCAAGCTCCTTTATTATGTTCAAGGTGGGGACCTATGTGCTCTTGACACTGGTGTGAACTCTCCAAAGAGCTGGGCTGGTTTGGTGACAACTGGAAGTATGTTTAGGCATTAAGTCATCTTTCTACCATGGCATTATGCTACCCAGAACACTGATGGACTGGAACGCCTACTTAAAAAACATAATTAAGTATCTAGATAACTGACCTAAAACTCTCTATGCACTCACTAACCTCACCCGACACCTTAAAATTTGATGCTCTGTTTATTCTCAAGTAAGTTGATCCTTTTGACATTCTTTATTTCCTTTGTCCCTCTTGTCTTCAGCTGCCATCCATCCTATTTCTTTTCCTTACAATAACATTTTTACCCTTGTAAAATCTTCATGTGTCAGTGACATTTACTTTTGCTAATATTATTTGCTTTTGTCCACTTCTTGGATAACTGTTAAGACAGCTCACTACGTACTTAACGTGTTTCTAACTTTTGTGCTTTGTAAGTGTTTATCTGTTATTTTTGCCAACAGTCTTTTCAATGGTGCTTCTCAGGGAGCACTATATAAACCACTTCCTATGTCCAATAAGTGTTCTAAATACACAGAGGCCATGCAATAAGTGGCTGATTGGCCACCAGTCTTCTGGTGACCAAGTGTAATCTTGAATCTTTTCAACTGAGTCAAGGCCAAGATATAGCGTCTTATATGTGACACTGATTGGTCTTCACTGCCATCTGTCCAGTCACTGTCACTGGACTCCTCTAACACGCACATCCCTCTCTTCAGGCGCTCTTACTGCAGGACCAGGAGTGCTTCCCACACGGAGTGCGCAGGCCTTTGGTTTGCAGCCAAAGGCAATTATCTGGAGTTGCTTGTGATTTTGAGTCTCTGGCCCTTTGCGTCTCTCCAAAAGCCACTCCATTTCCAAGGGATTAGTATCAGGCTAGCTGTTGGCTGCCACCATTGTTTAGTAGTCCATTGAACTTTCACACAGCTCAAAGTGCTGCCTGAGAATTTGTTTTTGCTGCACACCTGAATTGACCTCTGCTAACCATATGCAATAGCCATGAGTTCGCTGTATGCATCTAGACTGCAGTGTGGTAGTGCATGCTGCCTCACATTGCTCTTTGCTTGATGTCTATATGGAAGTCCTTGAGTGTGGTAAAGACTGGTTAACTTTCGTACCAGTTTCGGTTAAGCTAGTGATTATGATTTTCTGGACCAGAAAGAAAGAAATTGTCAGTGTACAGGAGGTGAAGCTGAGTGGTTTGCAAATGTTAATGTTAATGTGGCTTAGGTTCTCTTGCAGGTTTTGGTGCTAAAGCATGGATTGCCAGGCTCTATGTGCAAAACTCTGATTCAATAGCTTGGGAGAGTTTGCATTTCTAGCACATTCCTAGGTGCAGCTGCTACCTAAGAGTCAAAGAATCACAGCACAGGACTCTTCTAGCAATCTAGCTTTTCCTTCAGGAGATGGGAAGACAGAGTGGATCTTGCCAAGTTTTGGGCTTGAGACCATAATTTATGTCTAGAGAGAATGACCCAGCCTTTTTTTTCCCTGTCCATTGTGGATCAACATGCTCTTTGGTCTGTTTTCATGTGGACTTTTATTAGTTCACCTTGGGTATGACTAGCATCCTTGAATATAGTTTTAGGGCAGCTACACTGAGCTCACATTTCAGGGACACTTCCACAAATGTCATCACCGGAAGAACAACCTAAATGGTATGTCCGGATTGTTTATCTGCTGAGTGACTGGAACATGACCTGAGGGTACTAATCATCGTTGTAGGATCCAAAGGTGGAGGAGAGCAGGATGCCATGGCCGGGTGGAAGGCTTTTGGAATCAGCAGTATGGGTCCCAACAACACACGAACACTTCCTGCAGAAGAATCAAATAGATTCCCTAGAAAGGAATTGGCATCAATAATTCCCAAAGCCTCAGCCTGACAGAAAGACTGCTCCTGGACTGCACTTCTCAGGAGTGTGAGAGGGAAACAGAGCAGATGCAGGTGCTCCCCAGGTTTCATCAGGTTGACGAGAAAGACTCCAGCAAGGCTCAGACAGCCAGCTCAGCCACCGGGCAACAAGGCTGGCCTGAGTTCACACCAGTACTGACAAAGTCACTACCTTCTAGTGCTGGCACTTATTACAGCATCAGGCACCAAAACATACCCGGAGTCTGTGAGGACCACTGAGAGCCACTTCTCTGGTTAAGAGATGCTACCGAGACGACTGCGGCCAGCTCTGGCAACAGGATTAGACATTTTGTTCTCCTGCAACCTGGTTGAGAGCATATAACAACTTGCCTTCCTTCTCACTCTTTGAACTTCCGAAAAGAAGCTGAAAACACCCCAGGAAAGGCGGCTTGGCTTTGTGGGTCCTGGGTTTGGATTTGACAGGGCGAATCTTGCATGACTCAGGATAACAAACCTAATGCTAAGACCACGAGGAGGAACAAACCTCTGTCCTGTGATAAGGAGGAAGCAAACCATCGTGGCAACAATGGCAGTTCACGCTGTCCATCGAGACGAAGTGATGACAGCAAAATTGCATGATGGGAGATTTCTGCAGAAACCCAAAATACCTCTAATTTCAGTTTCTGGGAGGGAATGAGACCGCAAGGCCAGCCTTACCTTTTCTTCAAAGGTGTTTACTCAGACCAGCAGCCTCCACTTAACCAGTGTGGCTTCTTTCCTGCTACCATCCAAGGCTCCAGATTTGCTCCGGGAGCTAACCAGCTCAGCAGATTTCCTTGTGGGATTCTCAAAAGACTGCAGGCTTGAGTGAAGAGCAGAGGTGTCCTCAGTTACCCCTGGAGGGTGTGACAGGCTCTGGGCTATCTGTTTCAGAGGTAGAATTAAGAAGGAGCTTCTTCCCCCACAGTCCAATGGAGACCCCTAGGAGGGAAGACAGAGAAGACTGGACCATACTCTTCTCTGTTGTTTGTTTGTTCTTTTTTTTTGTACCAGGGATTGAACTCCTGACCTCACCTGCCAGGCAGGTGCTTGTGCCACTGACCTAAATCCCCAGCCCTGGGGCCATATTCTTGAATCTGAAGCACCCAGGGAGTTTATTTTAGATAAACTCTGCCCTGCTGAAAGCATGCTCTATGTCAATCAGATCCCCTGTTCTTTGCCTGGCTTTTCTCTCTGGGTACTGTAGGGTAGCGTCTTGACATTGGTAAGTGGAAGAACTCGAATTTCAACCCAGACCTATCTCTCCCAGACACTTACGTGAGCAGCTGTATAGAATTAAATCATTACAGCCTCATTAATGGCAGAATGTGGTAGCTGTGGGGCCCTGTTTTAAAGGGAGAGAATTGGAGGTGGAAAGAAGCTAACATATTTGGCCCAAGTCATCATCCTACAGACACTTGAAACTACCCAAGCCTGCGCCTTTCCTGGGGCACTGGAGTGGAGGCAGCAGATGGGCCAAGGGCTTGGAGAGGAAGCAGAACATCAGACACTTATTGAGATTTGATAATTAATCACGCCCTGTCTCCATGATAGACAGTGGGATAAGATGAATGGGTATCAGCCTTTCATGCTGGAAATAGCAGATTGGAAAACTTGGCTGACAGCAGAACCTGTAATCAGCTTTCCTAATTGCTTCCTTAGGAGTGGAGGCAATTTCCACAGGGCAGGGCGCTGCACAGAGCTGGGGTCCTGCTCCTGCCCAGAAGAGGAAGAGCAGAGATGGGGAAGGTGTGAGTTTGTCCAAAGGGCAGGGTCGCGCACATTCCTTCTGCTTCCATCTTGCCAATCGGATAATCCACTGGGTCACTCCCAGGGCAGGAAGAAAGTACGCAAAAGACAAAGCACTTCTCTTATTGGCTTTTCTGAGAAATACAATTAAATTTTTCACTAGGAAAATGCTAGAAAATTTGTAATGTAAGTATTAGGACTAGGAAGGGTTTATGCCCCCTAAAAGCAATGAGGTTGTCTTTTTCGATGTCCCTGGTTTGAATTTGACAGAAGGACTGAACGATGTTGCTGGCTGTGCTGAGTTGACTTTTAAGTCTACGTGTTTTGTGACTTGTGGCCCTGCTTTTGCTTTGGAACCACAAAGTTGAGATCAGGTCTTCCACTCCAAGGGAGAAAAGCCATAGCCGAGGCAAGCAAGTTACCCGAGCCAGTCCTTCCAGGGAAGCCGGCTGTTGCACCGGACTGAACAACAGCAGTGACAACAACACCCCAAGGAGCAGGACAGATTTTAGGTGCTGGCCACGTGCTTCTAGTCCACGGGGAAAACAGTCAGACTGACTATGGAGAAAGAGCTCAAATACTCTTTGCGGGAAACACAGGACATAGCAAAGGGAAACCCTTCCACACTGTTGGCAAGGACATAGACAGGTTCCGTCATGATGCAAATCAGGGTGGAGATGGCCCTAAAAACTAAAAATAGATTTACCTTTTGACCCAGATGCTCTCCATCTAGGTGTCTGCCTAAAAGAGTTATGGTCATATTACAGTAGAACATGTACAGTGGAACATGAAATCTCTACAGTGGAGCATGCATACAAATCTCTAGCAGCACCGTTCAAATTAGCTAAATCTTGGAAATGACCAATTTGTCCAGTAGATTAAAACATGTGGTAGTTATACACAATGGAGTACTACTCTGCAATAAGGAGGATCCATTTGAATCACTTGTAGGAAAGTGGATGCATCTTGAGGCCACCATGTTAAACAAAACAAATCAGACATAGAGACATAATGCCACACGATTTCTGTTATATGAGAAACATAAAGTGTAAGTAAACTAAAGAATAAAGGAGAAGACAGATGGTAGGAAACAGGGAGACAGATTTTTGCAAAAGGAAGGAGACTAAGAAAGAGAGGGAAGGGAGGGTAAAGGCGGGAAAAGAAAGGAATGAGGCTGTCTTGTGTACGTTCACCAGCTCCTCAGGAGGAGCAGGATCATTAAGTCCTGGAAAACAGTACTTAGTGAATGATATACGTAAAAAAAATTCAAAAAGCTGTAGACAAATACCTGAGCTGAAGGTGACTTCAGTATTGGCGAACAGTGGACTAATTCCTGGTGTCCTCCTGATGCAGTCAGATGGGGCAGACTCTCACTAGCCTGGGGTGAGCCTCAGGCTCCAACTGCACAGATAGACCATAGATAGATAGATAGATAAATAGATAGATAGATAGATAAACAGATAGAGAGAGGTATATATCTGTTATAGGCAGCTGAGTTAGAAATATTACAGGCAGCCACACAGGGCTAGGCCCTTCTGGGAGCTGGCACAGGGGAGCAAACATCTTGTGACCTTGGAGGAGACAGACACCTCCCACACGGGTCAGATCTCAAGACAAAGATCAAACAAATACACCCACATCCTAAGGATTGGTATTCTAAATAGGTCTCTATCACCCGGAGGAGGCCAGGAGTCACCATCCCAACCGCCCACGCCTACGGGAAGAGTCACTGCTCTTTAAGCACGCCCGCTTGCTACCTGCCTCACTTCCCATTTGTTCCTGATTTAATCAATTTTATCTGAGCAGTTAACCTTACTGGTTGACCACAGTTCTGTCCCACTTTGTGAGTTCCCGTTCCCATCCCCACCTTAGACACATCTTGCCTTGTAGTTTTGCTTTATAAAAGTCTCCAGAAAAAACAAACAGTTTGCTAGCCCACTCAGGACCCTTTCTGAATCCCTCAGACAGGAGCTTTTTTTCTCTCAATAAATATACTCTGCCCTTAACCTCCATTGTTCTTAAAATTCATTCTTCGATTTTAGAGAATGTGAACTTGCACTGGACATCTGATAGGTTGGGAATTTCATTCCCTTGTATCCTATCCTGTCCTATCCTATCCTATCTATCTATTTTATAAATTCTTCCAATGGGTATTTTTTTTAGGCATCCCCATCTTTTTAGCATTGAGCAAGATTTCTGCCCGACGTGAACCTGAAGCTTAGTGGAGAAGGCAGACTACGGAACGAGGCATCACGGTCCAGTGCAGTGACTGGCTGCTTTGGGGACATGCAGGAGGGAGCCGGCACAGGGTGGAGAAGGGAGGGCCACCCACCAAAGGGCACAGAAAGCTTCCTCCTGCGCTGAGCGCAGACTGCACGGCTTGCATGCCTACTTGAGGAAAGAGGGTTTTACAAAGTAGGGGCAGAGTGTAGGCAGGGAGGCCAGAGAGCTGCTGAGCGATGGTTTAAGCCAGGGAATCCATGTTCTCTAAGGGGAGGGTGTGCGGAAGGGCGTGGGCAGCTGGGGGAAATCGGGTGTCGGGGATACAAGGACGATGGTGGTCGAGAGGCCTGGGTGGTTGGTAAGATCTTAGGTTGCTTTAAACAAAAATTAATAACAGTATCTGCCTCACTCTGGTGTTCTGAGAACCAAAGCTGGAGGTGTTCAGGAGACAGCTGTCCTAGCCTGCAAAGTGCTGTGAAAGGGCTCAGCACTGTCACTGCTTTGTGAACCGTAGTTTCTGGGCCATTTTTCCAGGAGTAGAAGTGATTTTGGTGTAGATCTAAGCCTTGCTGTGTTCTTTTCTGACCAAAATTGCACTGTGACGAGTTTTGGGAAAAGATAGAAAATTTAATAATATGATACATTTATTTCTGTGTTTGTTTTCTACCCTCTATTCTTTTTCATAGATTTTTTTTTTTTTTAAAGTTCTTTCGGTATTGGGGATTGAACCTAAGCCTTTATATGGAATGGCAGCCCCAGCCCTTTTGTGAATTATTTTTTGAGATGGGGTCTCCATAAGTTGCCCGGGCTGGACTTGAACTTGCAGTCCTCTTGCTTTAGGGCTCCCGGAGTGCTGGGACCATAGCCCTGTGCCCCCGTGCCTGCCATCCCGCTGGCTGTGTTAATTAATACTGGAGAGGTGTGGCACGCAGGGCTAGCCAGCCCCTGAGTGAGGCATTTCCCAGAATCCTCCCACACAACAGGGCACCACCTCACGCAGGTGGTCTCACCACCTCCTGGGCAACGGCTTTCTGCTCTGTTGCCATAAATTCTAGGCCTGCTCAGTGGAGAGCTGAATCAGGCTTAAGTCTTTTCTTCTAAGTCCCAACTCAATTTGCTGTTTCTGGTTCTATTCCCAAGAATAATAAATTTTAGGAAGGCATTTTGAGTTCTTTTCTTCAGAATCGCCATCCAGCATTTCTCCTCTGTTGACTAAACTCAAAGCCTGGTTTTGTACCCAGCATGTGACTTGGGTCACTCTACAAGCCTGTAATTCTTTATTTTCATGTTTTCTTCCTCTAATGAGAGACTCTGGGCAGATTAGTGTTCAGCCTACCGAACATTTCACCCTGACTTTAAATGGATTTTCTATTTTCTAAAGCAAGGTACGTGTGGCAGGTAGAGACTTTTCACACTTTTAGCACCTGGATCCAGGCTGCGAGCTTTTTGAAGAGAGTACAGGAGTGAAGTCTGAAGCCAGGAGGTGGATGTGAAGAGATTAGTGGCTTGTCAACTCCCACATTTCTCCTGCAGATACAGAAGGGAAAGCACCTGAAAACAGAACTGGGTGCTCTAGATGATACCTTGGTATTCGTTAGGACTTATCTGTACTGCATTTTTTATGGTTTTGGGGATCACGAATGTGCCTTCAGCTTTAAACCTTTCTCTTGTGTACCTGGAAGCCTTCGGGCTTGGGAGGCCTCTCGGGAAGGCTGGGGACAGCACACTCAGCTCCTGTGTGAACTTCAGAGCAGGCCGGGAATGTGTGCTTGCTACTCCTGAGAAGTCCAGTTAGCTTGGTTCTTCCCTGTCTCCCTTGGTATAGTTGTGTGTTGGGGGGGGCGGGGCGCAAAATGGTGGCACTAATGGGATTAACAAGTGGCTCTGATTCCAGTACCCACCACCAGGTTATTATAATGTCACTTTTGAGATTTCCACCGTCCTTTCCCTGGCAGGCCCTGTGAGGCTCAGATATCTCAGCAGCCAGTCAAGGCCTCCTCAGTGGCCACCTGGGTCAGTGTCTGAGCAGCTGCTCTTTACCTGGAGCCATTAGTTCTGTCGCACTGGTCGCTGGATTGGGGACCTCCTTGATTGCCCGCCACCTGGTCTGTTTGGCTGCTGCCTTTCCCAGGTGGGGTTTGAGGATACCACCTTCTTGTGTCACTCCTGTCCTTGAGGGGCCCTTCCTGCTCTGAGCTAATGACCTATCCTTTGTTCAAATTCTGCAGTGGCCCAGCTCTGTTTCTTACAGCGCCCCCTAGTGTTACCACACTCAATGGGTGGGTTTTTCCATTCACCTTGTTCAAGTTGCTACAGGGCAAGATTGAAATCGCCTAGCATTGCAGATTTAGCAACCAATAGCAGAAACTGCTCAGCGAAACACTGCAGAATCTGGAAGGCTAAGTTTAAATGCTGCATGAGGATACTTACACTAAAATACTTCTCTTTGTTCTCTAAAATACCAAGTATTGACTGGGTGTATTTTTTATCTGACAACTTTAAAGAAGTTTTAAGTCAAAATTGGTGACCTTCCCATTTCCTGGCTCATTATGACACTTAGACTGTAATTGGTAGGACAGGTCAGGCATAGAAAAAAAGACATTGTTCCTGTTTTGGGCACAGTCACGAGGGAATACACTCCGGACTGGCGGCGTGCAGGGGTAGGCTACGACTGAGATACTGTACTTGTAAATCTCTCCTTTTTCTTGAAGTTTAACACCCCAAAGCCAATTCTGTAATATTATAGGGTAGATTTCCAGAAGCAAGGACTTTGAGTTTGATCTATAGATAAATTGCTAGTGTTCTAGTCACTTTTAATTTACATCTAATGAGTGACAAAATCTAATGATTCAGACATGCAAATTTAGAAAACTCAAAATATTTATATTGTGACAGGGTAACATAAGATCACTTTGTGAGAAATGCAGTATGAATGGCTCCTATCTTCCCTTTCTGATATAAAAAATGTAATTTATTTTAAAGGGAAAAAATAGTAAGTCCACATGGTGACAACATGTGAATTGTGGAGCTACTATGAAAAATGGGGTGACAGCTCCTTAAAAATTAAACCGAACTCCTTAGACTCCCACAGGCCACTTCTGGAGCTACACCCAAAGGAACTGAGCACAGGAACCTGAACAGACAACTCTTGATTTTTCTATTTTTTTCCAGTCCTGGGGATCAAACCCAAGTGTACCCTACCACTATATATATCTCCGGTCCTTTTTAGTTTATATTTTTGAGGCAGGATCTCACCAAGATCCCCACCACTATATATATCTCCGGTCCTTTTTAGTTTATATTTTTGAGGCAGGATCTCACCAAGATCCCCACAGAAGATTGGAATTTGTAATCCTCCTTCTTCAGTCTCCCTCTGTGCCAGGATTCTAAGTGTACCCCACTTCCTCTGGCTTTGAACAACATCTGTTCATCCCTGTGCATGGCCGCATTATTCCCGGGAGCAAAGAGTGGAACATCGCAAATGACCTTAACAGATGAATGACAAGTGAAATGTGGTCTGTGTATACAATGACATGGCATTCATCCTTGAAAAGAACAGAAGTTCTGACACGTGTCAAGATGTGGATGAACTCTAAGGACACTGCTGAGTCAAACAAACCAGGGATAAAAGGATGAATATTGCATGGTTCCATTTACACAGGGTGTGATTGGAAAAAATATGGTTAATTTTTAAATTAAAAACATTACTTATTATAGTGAAAGACACATTGTCATAAGTTCCATCAAAAAAGCAACCAGCCCTTGTTCCTTGTGTATCTCTGGCTTCACTTAGTACGTGGTTCTTGTAATACAAATCTCAAGAAAAATTAGCTTCTAGATTGGAGGGAGGAGGGCAAGAAAAAGACTTCAAACACACCCACTGCTGCAGTGTGGGTCTGAAATATCCCAAAAAGCTTTGCATTCAGGGTGTGTACCCCAGTACTGAGCTCCTAGAGATGGGGGGAACTGTGAGAGTTGGGAGGGCATGGGCCACTGGAACAAGCTCTTCAAGCCTTAGTAAGGCCTGGCCCCTCCTCTTTCCTCTCTTTCTCATCTTACACACTAGGGCTGTGAGTGAGCATCTGTCTCCACTGCACCCTACTCTAGTATGTTTCCTTTCCAGAGGCCCAGAAATAATTAGACCAATCATCCGTGGACTGAAACCGTGAGCCAGAATAAACTTTTTCTCTGATTAGGGTGATTCTTGGGAGTACTTTTTAAAGAAACTGCAAGCAAACTGACACAGTCACCACTTAGTGCAATAAGACAGTATATATTAATGAACAAATCACTAATTATAATTTTATAGACTAATATACTTCTTCTTGAAGCACTGTCTCTTATGCAATGTTAATTGTTCTCCAGATAATTCCTACCTCATCATTTCCTCCAACAGATAATTTTAGTCTCCATAAAAACTCAATTTTGACAGTTTTTGCAAAAAAAATTTGTTTTTGAATGATTCCTTGGCTAGCACCATAATTTCAAGAAGTAGTTTTGTTTTTGTAAGAACTCAACGGTGTGAAAATACATCTTAAGCTTCTCCAAGCAGTTGGTGATTTTTGAAGTTTTGTGTAAAATATCTGGACAAAAATATAAAAAGTTCAATATAATTATCTCAAATTAGGTGCTAAAGTGCCACTGACTTAGGCTAAGTGGGGAATACAATAGAATCTTGCAGTTTATTCAACTTTTTTATTCGTTCATTCATTCCACTCCTGAGCAAATAACTAAAAACCAACTGTTTAATATGTCTAGCAGTTTTTTGAATTTGATTTTGACAGATAAGCGAGCAAGTGGATTGAATGGTGCTATCACAAAGCCTTTGTTTCTCCAGCTGTCATCTGTCCTTTGTTGTGAATTATCTAGATCACTGTCTGAACCTTCCTGGCTGTGTAGATTGTCCTCCCTGGGAGTCAGCAGAAGCGATGCTGGGTCTGCGAGGACCTCATCCAGAAGCCAGTCCACCCTTCCGGTAAGCCAGGCAAACCATGTGGGGCCCAGGAAGTCAGAAGCCAGGGACCCCTGTGATGGGCTGAGAATCAAGAACTGCTCCTCCCACATCCTCCACTAATCAACCTGCTGGTTCGAAGGACAGGCTGAGTTGACAGCAACTGAATTTCAGAGACAATTACAGGCTTGTACTGTGTGATTGACCTTGGAGGTCTAAGGCTGGAAGTCTAAACATCAACTAGGATACTAACAGTATCCAATGTAGTGAATATGGAGATTTCCTTCTGTCTTGTATTTGAAACCCAATGTCTATCTTACTGTTTTATTTTTCTCTGATTTATTGTTTTGTTTTATTTGGTGCTCTGTTTTGATTGGTTTCGCTGTTCTGTTTTGTTTGATTTTACTGTGTTTGGTGGAATACACACTGTGACTAATGAGATAGATTACAGTAGCTGTTGATGTGGTATTACCCTGCTTCAAAGTTCTGTTCCACCTTCACTGCATTGTTTTGGTTGGTTTTATGTGGTTTTGTTTTGTTGGGTTTTATTCCCTTTAAAGTTAAAAAAAAAAAAAAGCAAAAAATCTTTGGCTGTGTAAAGAAGCAGACTCTAACAGGAAAATGATACTCCAGGATTCCAAGAGGTAAGAGTGTAGTGTCACCAGTCCTCAGATGTCACAGCTTCCAGCAACTCCCCCCAGGGGGGTTCTGGTCTCATTTGCATTTCCATGACTTGTTGCATGTCTCCAGGGCTGACCCCTTAAACCATCTTGTGCACTTCACGCCCTGCAGAACCCGGATGTGAACACACACATTGATCTGTCCTGCATCTTGATTCTGGAAGTTCTTCCTTTCTAGGACTCAATATTTCCAGTTTTCTTTCTCAAATTTCTGATAAACACATTTATTTTCCTTCCTGTATTTTTTCTCTAAACTAACTTTCTGGAATGCTGTCAAAGTTCTGGAAGTGAGGACAAGAATACTGGGCCAAGAATAGGGAGCAGGTCAAGGAGGCATCCAGGAGAGAAAGATTTTACACAGCTTGGCCAACAAACAGCGGTCGCCTTGGGAAGCCAACCGAGCCGCCATGCTGCATAGGAGGCAGAAACAACCTGATGCGTGCCAGAGACAGGCAGTAGGGCCCATGAAGAAATGTTTTCCGTTTTGTCCCATGAGTAATAAAATATCACCACATGAGTCGCAATCAGTCTGTAACTTTATCCACGGGATACTTTGGCCTTTGTTCGCCTTCTTTTTCTGTGCCTGGTCTTTGCCTGGGAAGCCTTGCCGGTTCCACTGGGAGAAAGGTGGAGAATAAGACCTGCTGGGTCCTATTTAAGCTTTTAAAGAACATTCACTCTTTTTTCTTTTCCTACAGACCACAGCCAACTGCTGCTCCTCCCTTTGAAGGAACCCGGCTGTACCTGCTCTTTCATCTCCTGGATGGAAAATGTCTATCGGCTGGAAACCCTGTGAGTCTTAATTTTCAAGGATTTTAGTTGTAAGCTTTTCAAGGCATGAGCTAAAGTTTCAGGCAAAGGTAATTTTAGTAGCTGGAGCACGATTTCCACCCCCACCCTCTGTCCTGTGTGGGGAGCTATCCGAGTGAATAAGGTCTTTACCTAAAATATCAAGTTATGTTCCCTGGTACCCGATGACGGTTCTTGGAAACTGACACTTGAAAAGAAAAAAGCAAGGCTGAGGGTGGGAGAGAGAGGGGGAGAGAGGGAGAGAAAGAGATTGAGAGAGATGAATCCAAAGACTTAAAAAGAGACTAGACCCACCCCAGATGGAAAATTTTATGAGAGTGGAGAAAATGTATAAGTGAAATATCAGTATCATAAAATAACAGGAAATAGTGTAATCTACCTGATGGAGAAAATTGTCACTAAAAAAAAAACCTATCCTAATTTCCTTCAAAATTGTTCTTGTTTTTGAGCCAATAAATGGCAGCTAAGCTGACCATGGGAGTTCCTCCTGCCAGCTTATAGTCAGCAACAGAACCTCTGTGTGTCTACAATCGAAACTTTTCCATTCTTTTTTTATTTTGTAATTAAAATAAAACCACCCAGGGGCAGGCAGAAATCAGGCAATAAGAAAAGAAAATTGCTAATGATCTGGGCGAATTGTGATCCAGAAATTTAGAGCAAAGTCAGAGCGAGTGTTAGGGCAATAGGTTTACAGCAATTTGGGGTCAACCAGAAGAAATATAGAGGAGAAAAGCTTGTGTTTTCCCTTAATAAGTAATAAGAGCAATACAGTTTACTTTAGGCAGTGCGCAGGAGGAGAAAAATCACCAGTCAGATGCCTGGGGCACTTACTCTGGGGGAATGTGTTGTGATGTAGTTTTGGCTTTGTCTCTCCTCCTGTACCTGGATCATACGACTCGGAAGCTGTTGCTGAGCACACGAGGAAGAAGGGTTTGGTTGCTTGCACAGGGTGTTGTCGGGATTAACTTCCTATCCAGGTTGTTTTGATGGGAATATTTGTAGCATTCACAAAAGTAATGGTTGGAATTGGTTTCATAACCATCACACACACGCACATATGTGCATATGTGTACACACACACAGACACACACATTCACACACACACATACACAATAATCACCACTGGGAAGGCTGGTCAGGCATTGTGCTAAGCACAGTGCAGAATGGAAAGATGAACTAGAACTCAAAGGTGTAGGCACAAATGTGAGAATTATTCAAGGTAGAAAGGGATTAGGTCACAAGAGATGGGCAGACAGAGCATGAGGGAGCTCAAAGGGTGGAGGGATGATTTAGAGATGGGCTGGGTGGCACTCAATAAAGTCTTTAGCAAAACAAAGCATCTGTTCTGCAGTGTTAAAATTTACAGGATTGAGACATAATCCTGGATTGATCTGCATGTTTTTTTTTTTATTTTAAAGAAAAATTCAAAGAAGTCAAGATGCAAATAATTAAAAGACAACAAAAGCAAAATGATGATAACAACAACAAAAACAGTGGCAATATAGGATTTTGGAACAAAATGATAGGAATCTATCACTGGTTGTTATAGTGCATATTATTATCCTCAAAGTAATTGCTTAGGCTACAAGATACAAACATGAAAGACTGACCAAATAATAAAATTTCCCTTTAAGCAGTTTCTTTCCCTTTTCCTATATCTATTGTAACTTTTTTAGTTTTTTATATTAGCAAGACAACTAGGTATTTGCACATGTAAATCTGATAATATGGTTATAAGTGTGGTTTCTAGTTACATCCACTTATCTATAGAAATCTTGAGTTTATCATTCTTTATGGTTGAGTACTATTCCATTATACAAAAATAACTACATCTTTTTAATCCATTCCTAAGGTGATAGGCATATGAGTTGTTTCCAAGATTTAGCTATTACAAATTGGGAAAAGATTTTTGCTGTTTCTCAGACAAAGGACTTTTATCTAGAACATATAAAGAATTGAAAAAAATGAGGGCCCTCTGGTTTAAAGACCCAGTCCAAAAATGGTTATCTAAGGTGAGTACGCAATTCTCAGATGAAGAAATACAAAAGGCAAATAAATCTATGAAAAAATGCTCAACATCATTGGTCATTTGAGAAATGCAAATTAAAACTACACCGAGAAATCGTCTCACTCCAGAAAGAATGGTTAACATCAAGAAATTAACCAATAACAAATGCTAGCATGAATGTGGGGAAAAAGGTAAACTTCTCCACTGTGGGTGGGAGTGTAGACTGGTGCACCCACTGTGGAAACCAGTAGGGAGACACCTCAAAACTAGCATTAGAGATTTCCTGAGACCCAGCTATTCCCTTTCTGGGTGACCTCCCAGAAGAACTGAAAACATCCTACCACAGCGATATATGTGCACCTGTGTTTAGAGCAGCACAATTTATAATAGCGATCTGCGTACATTTACAACACAGTTCTGCTCATATGCTGGTGCAGTCACTCATGTGCTCATTCCTCACGGCAGCTGTGATGCGGGCCCAGGCAGGGGCGAATTTGAATGTCCCACCAGAAGTTGCTGATGGCATGGATAGTTTTTTCTTTGAATAGTTATTGGCTTTGGACTGTTGGTGTTGACTGCAGGTTGGGTAAGCTTGTCCTCACAACTGACCAGTCTGTGTGCACCTTCTGTGTCGATGTCGCTCCTGGCCGGCAGGAAGGACACACGACAAAGTCTGGCAGTGGACAACCTTTTCTTTTATTTTCCTTCTCCGTACAGCCTGCCCTGGGATCGCTCCCAGCCGAAGCCTCCTTTGGTCCGCTCCCCGCTGCTCCTTCTGGGCTTCTACTTCCGGGCTTCCTCTTTCCCCCCAGGGGTGGCACCAGTATATATACGGATACAGTGTCCAATCATGTTAAAGTAAGCAAGGCAAGCTGATTGGCTAACATCATCAGTTGCCAGGCAGACTATATTGTTGAGCGGGTTGCTTACGCGGTAAGCAGGAAACTAACGTGCTCGATGGGAGGGGTAATCTACCTCAGGCTTTACTCTTTACTACAGGCCTCACGTCCGCCAAGTGAGGCGACCGGGCTCGGGGCTGCGGCTCCCAACACTTCTGGAAGATTCCAGAGCAGGTTTCAAGAGAGACACCGAGGCAATGGTCGTGTGTGCTACCTAAAACTTCCAGCAAAAATGATAGAACCATTGTGATTTCCAAAGGAAACAATTTGAAAAGTCGTAGGGATTGTACTTAGTTTGGTTAGAAATTGAGAAGAAGAAGACCAGTGAAGGTGATTAAAACAGCTCTGTTTCTACCAGAGGTAAAATATAAAAATGAAAACAGGGAAATTTTTTCACAACCTTCAGGAGACGTGATGTAAGGTGTGGGTGTGAAATGTGTGGGGTTAGTTTGGGAAGCACATGCTTATTACAGTTGGGAGAAAAATGTTTCTAATGACCATTTAAAGAGTGTGGGAGAATCTGCGTCTTGATGGATACTAAATAACTTTAAAATTCTTTGTCTGATTTAACTCTTGAATTTACATGAATGGTAAATTGGAAGAAAACACAGAAAACAATAGATAATCAGGATAATCTGCAAATCAGAGACCAGTCTATGAATGGACTACTTCCACTTACTGGAAAATGAGTAGAACAAATAAACATTTGCTGATTTGAGGGGGGGTAACTGCTAGAAAAAGGGTTGTCAATATTTAAATTCATTTGATATATATATATATATATATTAAAAAACAAGTTTTGGGAAGGATTTCATCCACTTTTTTAAAAGTTTTTTTTCATAGTACAAGAATCATCATTGGATATTCACAAATCCATCTGTATGGGCTGGGTGTTTTAGAAAATGCAGCCTGAGGTAAGGATTAAAATGCTGACAACTAATTTTGGAGATACACGGTTAGGACTTGGGAGTGAGGGGGAAAGCTCAGATGGGACCAGTAAGGATGGAAGCCCTGTGATGTGGTGGGACCCTTTACAGACCGGACCTCTGCTCACAATGTGTCAAAGGATGAAAAGATACAGGTCATTCAGACACTGTGTTTAGGCAACTCATGGAGAAGCTATTTCTGAGAGGTTTGCAAGGAGAAGTCCATGGAGACGATCATGGAAGAGGCACTTTCAGATCCCTTTGGTCTCCTTTTCTCCCCCCTGGGCTCTGGGTCACAACAGCTCTCTCCTCCTGTCCCATCTTCTCTCCAGATGCCAGGCCTTTGCTCCCCAGCATGGCATGCAGCCATCTGGGAGGAGGGCACCTTGACCTGGTGGGGCACTGAGGAAAGGACCATGAGAGAGACAGGACAGGGGCTGGGTCTGACTAACAGAGCGACGGTAACTAATCTTTCTCCGTGTACTCGCCACTGCTGTTGGGTCTTTCGGTGCTGGTAGTGCACTTCGCTTTGGTCTTAGGCAATTCCCTAATGAGATCTTCATAAGCCCTAGAGTCACAGGAACAAAATCTGATTCTCTCTCCACTCCCAGCACTCAAGTGCTCTTGACATTTAACATTCCTGCAGAATACCAGGATGAAGAAGAGTGTGGAGTTCTCCTGAGTGACTGAAAACAGTCATTATTTCACTTCTCTTTCCACTGAGTGTGTAGAGACATCAGTGTAGTCTGCAGTTTCTCCATTACCCGGGTTTTGTGCTGGGGTGGGGAGGAAATACGCAGGAAAGAAGCACATGTAATAAAAAGATCCCCTAGGTGAGTGTGGCACATTCCTCCTTCTGCCTCATAGATGAGACCCAATTCGCTCAACCAGGCCCAATGCTTGGTACTAACATTTACAATAAAGAGAACAGCGAATCTGAAGACATGGAACCAGAAAAGAAGTTCATTCCATAGTGGGCTGGCTCTAAGGCCAGATGGCACAGCAGAGGGCATCAGACATCAGGCTAGACATCAGGCTGATTCTTACATCATGGCCCAACACCAGCCTTTCCTGGATGATCTGCTCAGGGTTTCCAGCTTTCTTGGGGTTAAAGGAGTCCAGAAACAATGTTGCTATAAGATAGAATGGAAAACACCAGGCTCAGTTTAACCCAGTTTCTGTAGATCAGGGTGGGTCACTGTTATCCTGAAATAGCATGTGAATAACTCGATTTTCTCAAACTCCTTCTACTATATTAAATTACCAAAATAAATAGTGGTTTTATTTTATGTGCAGTATCAGCAAGATCATATAACACAGTGTAAGCTGGTATCACTTAGCATGCTGGGCTTATTACTGGAAGATTGTAAGACAGGGTTGCCAAGGTGTACCCCAGCATGTCGAGCTCCTTACTGTACAGTGGTGAATTCAAAGCTTTAGATGGGCCTGGCTGATCAGAACTCCTGTGCTTTGCAAGAGGAATGCCCTGTCTTATAAACCAACCCTTAGACTGCTTTATAGCTCAGTGAAGCAAGCTGAGCCACCCTGAGCCATAGCTGTACACCTCACGGTCAGGTAAGATGTAGTCAGTAAAACTCTCCTTTAAAACGTGGAAGAGGATGAAAAATAACAGCTGTTTACCAAGTGAACCAAGGTAGGAGAGAAAACAGCTCAGTAAAGACCAAGAATGTTGGATTATTTTGATCTGATCACCTGTAGATTTCAAAAACAGCCAACCCTCTATAACTAGAAACTCTGTACTTTCTCTTGGGGAGTACATTTAATTTAGTAAAAAGTGTAGATTTACTATAAAATAGTTTTATTGCTTTTCACAGTATATGCTATGTGTCTCCAAATTCTAGCAGATTTGTTAAAGAGAGGTTCTTCTCACTGCTGTTAGTCTCTCACCACATTGTTTTGGGTTTTTCAGAATGCTTTACTTGAAAGTTTAACCGCCTGAGGAATCTTGCTTATAATACAATATAAACATATTCTAAATTGACTGTTTAGACAGTCTAATAAATGAATTTAGCCTTTGTGCTTAGGTAAAAGTAAACATAAAAACCTCTAAAAATAAAATCTCAAGCTATCACATTTTCTTGGTTAGAGAACATAAAAATGGTACCCTCCTTTATGATGGTTTGACATCGCAATTTTTTTTTTTTGATTTTGTGATGGTGTGAAAATGACCCACATTCAGTAGAAACTGCACTTTGAATTTTTAGCATTGATCTTTTCCTGGGCTCAGGATAATGTCTAATCCTCTCTCCAGGGGCTAAGTGGGCAGTGGGAGGAGCTTTTGTGCTCACCGAAGTATGGGGTGTACTGTGCCCCGGATGCGAAGGCTCGCTAAAGGTTAGGGGTGTGCAGTTCATTTTGGATTTATCATGCAGTGTCTTTAGTCTCGTGATGGCTTGGTCAAGCTGTCATCCTACTGTAAGTAGAGAAGCATTTATTTTCGTTCTCATTTCCATGGGAGCGGAGTGTGACAGCGTCACGTGTGCTTAGGGACAGGACCGCATTCGGGCAGCACCCCGGTGGGAAACCTTGTCACTGAGCAAACGCTGCTGAATGTAACCACACGAACCCAGGTGCAGAGGGCCATCCCTGCGTGGGACCCCTGAAGCAGTCGGAGGATGCGCTAGACATAAAATAGGTAAGGCTGCGACGGGCCAGCGCAGGACGCTGTTTTACAGAAAAATTGATTTTCATCTGTGGAAGGTGCTCATGTCAGAAGAGGACCCAGGTCAGGTGTGCTGGTGTAGACCTGTGCTCCCAGCACTCTGGGGGGCTGAGGTGGGAGGATCACAAGTTTCAGCGCAGCCTGGGCCACACGGTGACTTAGTGAGACCCTGTCTTCAAAGTAAATAAAACAAAATATAAAGTGGTAAAATATGATAAAGTAAATAAAATAGCTCAGTGTGAAGGCCCTAAATTCAGTTCCTAGTACAACAAAATTAATTAATTAATTTTTTAAAAGAGAATAAAATCAAACAAAACAGAACAGCGTGATACAGGGTTTTAAAACAAGATAATAGGAAATCAACAGTGGCTACCATAATGCCTCTTATCCTCAAAACAGCTGTCTACATCATCAGACACAGAAAAATCCAATAAATAAATGAAAAGTAATGAGAACCATCAGCGTGTAGCTTGGTCGTTTATGAGTCTTGTCATTGCCCAGGTTCATGCACTGTGTGGACTTATCACGCCATCCGCACACCTGGCAAAGTTTGTTTACATCAGCGAGGGCAGGAGCATGCGCATATTGTGGGCTCTGTGCAAGGCACAGGAGTCTTCCGGCTCCCTTGTCTTCTTACAGGGCCGTCATCACAGATGTGGACTGTTGCTGACCAGTGTGTCACCGTGCGGTTTTACAGGAGATGCCAGGGAGGCCAGATGCAGCGATGCGGAGGATCGTGGAGCCCCGGGAGCCCCAGAAGTCAGCCAGCTTCTTGGTGAGGTGACAAAGCCCTGTATCCTCAACTTCCTGGTGAGCCACTTATGCTCCTGAACTCCTCCAGGGGAGGGGATCTCCCTAGGTGACCAAACCACATCTTTGGAAGGCAAAGACCATTAAAAATCCCTTCTCAAGATGAACTAAAACCTGCCAACCTTTAACTTTCCATCTGCTGGCTGTACCGTTTCCTTCTGGAAAAATGCAAGTTCAACCCGATTCCTTTTCTATAGGGTAATGGTTTAAATATCTGAAGAGTGCTATCACCATCCCCTTGTATGCTCTCTCTCTGTCTCTCTCTGTCTCTCTCTCTCTCATTTTTCAAGCCCTCTGCTGTCAGGCCAACCTCTTGCATTGTACGACTATATAATGGAGTTTTTGGGAGATGAAATACGTATCTTTAAGTTTACATTTATTAAATTTCATTTTATCAAATGAATTACAATCTCATCAGCATTGTAAAAGTAAGCTAAACCAATCTGAAATACCTCTTGCACCCTAAAAATGAGTAAAGATTAAAATAAAATTAGATAAAAAATTTTTTGGCAAAGGAGCAGAAAAACAAAGACCCTTGTTTACTGCTGGTGACAATTAATCTATCTGTCATTTTTGGGATTCACGTTAGCATTATGTATGCCAACAATCATGGTCTGGAAATTGTAGAGGATTAATTGTTTTGGAAAAAGTTTTAGTTATGAGAACGTTCATGTCAACAATGTCCAAAGGAATAAAATTAAAAACAATCTTCTAATGGTTAAATAACGTATAGAATGCATGCTGTAGTATTAAAATGTGATGTCCTAGAAAAAAATTTAATGATGTGGAATTAACTGGAAAAAATAGACTCTGCAGTAGTGTGGAATAAATGATCTCTGTTCTCTAAAAACTACAAGTGCACACATATATGTCTATCCAGGAACACATATATGAGTTGTGATAAAAATATATTATTTAAATTTTAAAACTTACTTAGTAGAAACTCTATCACCGTTGATCACCCTGAGAATACCTTCCCCTTTCTTCAAGATATTTATCTTGTTCTTGTCACTTTCTCAAGCATTTCTGGAGTCTCTTTCATGACTGTCTTCAGCTGTGCTTCTGTGCCTGCCTTGATGTTCTGAATCAATTCAAAAATTTACCCTTCATGGTCATTTTGATTTGGGGGAAGAGGCAGAAGGCACAGGGTGCCAGATCTGGTCAGGGGATGGAGGCATAGAATAAAGGTTTGTGAGCCTGTCTTTCCATTGGTGGCATGGAGCAGCAGCGTTTACCAGATTTTTTTTTAGCATATCTTGTAACAAACTCAACAAACACGGCACCTTTGCTTTGTCCAAATCATTCTGTAGAAAATAAGGACAGGACCCAGAACTAAGTGTGACTTTTTCCCATCAGGATTACCCTGTCTCCTCTAATGGGTCAATGTGACAGTAAAAGATCAAAATTCATTAATTCAGCTATACTACCTTCTACCAAATACTCAATTAAACACCCAGTGCTGAACACTAGGCTTCTCCATCACCTAGCAATGAAAGTCCTGTACTGGTTTAAGGAGGTTTAAATTGGGGTAGGAATCCTTCATTCCTGTAGCAAGTATTTATGGATCATACGTTGTGAGTCAACCAGTGGCTGCTGTGGAGATGGGACATGGAACCCTTCTTGTTTGAGGTTCCAGTGGTGTTTGTGTTAAGCCCAGGTTGGGAGTTTAAAATTATTATTTAGCTCCTGAAGTGCACCAAGCACCCTTTGGGTTGATTATCCTGTTTTATTCCTTTGATCTCCTTCCCAACCTATGAACTAGTGGTACTGTCTTCTCCACTTCATAGATACAGGTTTGATTGTGGCAGTGGGGATTTATCAGCCAGCTCTAGGGCTCCCAGCCAGAGCGCCTAGCTTGAGTCACCTGTGGTGACTCAGCAGCATCCCAGCCACTCTCCGAGTCACTCATGTGAAGATGAGACTCTGCCGAGCGAGGAGGCCACTGGTGATGAGTTGGAGAGAAGTCATAAGGAGGCTGAGACCCAAGGGCCTCGTAGTGGTGACCTGACTCATCTGGGAAGTGATTACGGTGGGGTTCACAGACATCTGTAGTGGGAAGAAAGAGAACAAAGGACTGACAGGAGTTTGGGAGTAGGCAGACATCAGACCACGGGCCATGAGTATAGACCACGTTAGAGGTTATTTTGTCTCCCCTCCAAGGGTGACCAGACGTTCAAATGACTTCAGGCCAAGGGGTGTTTGAACCACCAAAGACAGCAGCTGGCTATCATGCATCCCCCCTCCTGAAGGAGGAAGACTTAATGTTCAGAGACGGAACAGGAGGCCTTTGGGCCTCGAGTATCAGTGCATGTTGACAGCAGTGAGTACAATGGAGGAATATTATCCCCAGACTTCTGGAGTGTGCCCTGCTCCTGTTCGTGGATTTACAGAATCTCATTCTGGCCTGTTTTTGCCTGTTTTCCTCCTCAAAGGTCCAACTTTCTGATGTTCTCGTACCCAGTTTGGTCCTAGGCCCAAAGGTGGCTGTACTCTGAATGTTGTCCTATGTACTCATGTCAAATTTGTACGTGAAGATGAATCAGCAATGTGTGGATCTGAGAAAGTAAGGCCTTCAGGAAGTTCTTAGGGCACAAACGTGGAGCCTTCATGATGGGGATTAGCCTCCAACAAGCTGTGCTGTTCCTTCCGCCTCCTGGGGGTACAGTGAGATAGATACATCCTCTGCTGTGGGAAGTAGCCCTCACCAGACACCCAGGCTGCTGGTGCCTTGCTCTTGAACTTTTTGGTCTGCAGAACCATGAGAAAACACTTTTCCTCAGTGGATAAAGTTTCAGGCATTTTGTCACAGCAGCTTGCACATACTAATACATTGGCCAAAGGCAGCTAAGGACAGAGGTGGTGATGAGAGCTCATACAGCTTGCTGGCCATGCAGCCAGGAGATTGTGTGTATACTCATCTTTTGCAGTAAGGTCCCTTGCAGCTGGGAAGGGCCTGTTGAGAGAAGTATGTGGTCTGCGGTCTGGGAGGAGTGGGCCAGCTCTTCCTGTGTGGCTGATGAAGGAGTTGGAGAAGTCTGAACTATGCATTTGAGACAAGGAAGAGATTCATTGTCAAGGTGGGAGGCTGTGGCACTTTTACCTAACAATTAATCGTTGATTTTATCATTGTCTTTCATGTGTTCCCAACAAAAGGGTGACTTTTTGGTCTGGGGATATAACCAGACTGAGCTCCAGGCTGATAAATTCTGCTTGACATCGCTCACGTCTCTCCAAGCCTGGACGATGGATGGTGTGCTGTGGGTAGGAGAAAGATAAAGGCTCCCAGAGGGCCAGATCCATCTACGATCTGTTGAGAAATACAGGACAGGCTAAGAGGAAGACAGGTCTATGGCTGGTTCCCTGGCAACTGTGTGTGCCCAGTGGGCCTCATGGCTCTTCATTCTCAGCTATTTGGACCTTCATGCTGTTGTTTGTATCTGAGAATCATCCTCGTGAAAGTTTAGAGTATCGATCTCTTCTTGCTCAAGAATTCCTCCCAAGAACTCTTGATCGTACTTCTGTCTCTGTCATTGTTATGATATACAAGAAACCATTAAAGTGGGATGGAAATCCATGTGAGTAGCGGCTCCTGCCCTTTGTAAAGAATGTGTATTTTCTTATTTTGTCCGCTAAGAAGGTAGAAGTGGCTGCCTCTGCCTCCATGGCAGAATGGTTGTGCTGGAGCACAGTCTTCTCCAGTCTGGCCTCCCTGCAGCAGACTCAGGAGAAGAGCAGAGTCTCATCACTTTTAGGCCATGTTTGTGTTTCCTGTTCTGGAAACAGGGGGTGGAGGGTAGAGAGACATGATCTCTTGGTCTTCTGTGGGACTAAAGGGCATGGGACTAGGAAGTTGAGGTCCTTCCTGCTCTTGGAGATTTGCCATAATGCCGCAAGGTCAAGGGCCTTCCCAGAACCTGAGGATCAGTACAGAATGAGCAGCCAAACCTGGTCACTGTCTGCGGCTCAGTCCATTCCTCTCAGAGGTGAAGCTGTGAACCACCCATTTTAAAGATAAAAGCAGTTGCCTTCTGCTCCAAAGAGATCTCTACATATGCGTAAAAAAATCCTTATGTCCCCCATGTGATGTAAGTACAAATGATTCTGAAACACATAGTGTATATTTTCTTTAGAGTAAACAGAGATGGTTAATAGGAAGAACCCATGGCAACAAACAAAACAAATGAGGCATCTTTCACTCCCAAGGAATTTGAGGATCTTTCCAACTTCAGGTTACAGGAAAGTACTCCATATTTCCTAGGGTAGAGCAAGTGGTAAGCTAGAAGAAGCTTGATCATGGGTTAAGAGTGAGGTAGTAAAATAGTTCCAAATCCCTCGAGCTTAAGGCCAGTGATCGGGTAATAGACTCCATACTCAAGTCCTGGGTCCTGGGTGTCGGAGCAGATGCCAGTTTATGACACGTTCTGCATAATCAGTGGTCCTTGCTTTCTTTGTGCACTTGTGAGTTGATGCAGCCTGAGGGCAAATAGGGTGCAGGCTAGGTCAGTACTCAAGTCTGTTAGATTTGCTCTAATCCAGAATCATAAATTGTGTGCTTCACCTTAGTCACACATCTTAAACCATGTACTTAACCTTGTTTGCACAATTCACTGCGATTTAGTTAACATTGTAGAGCAGGAAAAAATATTTTTCTTTCTTGTCTCTCAGGGTTGGTATCTAGGGCCAATAAACTGAACTGACAAAAGACAGGTTGATAGGAGAACAGGGTACCAGTTTTATCTGATGTGTTAGCTTCACGTTACTATAGAGAATCACCAGGACAGCTTATAAAAGGAAAGCTTTGTTTTGATTTATGCTTGTGAAAGTTCTAGTCCATGATCAGGTAGCTCATTGTTTTGGGGTCTGGGTGATGAGGTGTGTCATGGTGTGGACACAGGGCATGAGGGAGTCCGGAAAAAATGTGCAGGGAGAGGCTCTGCCTGCCTCTGAAAGGGCCTGCCCTCTCTCCAAGCACGGCACCCTGACACCTGCAGAGCAAACCTTCAGCTGTGGGCTGTGATACCCCAAAGCACAGCAATGCTAATACATGTTTTATACACAAAAATAAAACATTAAGAATCACGAACAAATCTGAAAGGGAATTTGTGAAGACCAACCCCTGCAGAATGTACATTTTTATTCAGGAAAGAAACAGAAATGAAGGAAGCATTCCCCTATAACCAACCACTTAATGGATTTGCCTCCCGGGGACACTGGCCTTCTCTGTCTGGGGAGGTAAAGCTGTCACCAGACCCTGGATCTGCTAGTGCTTGCATCTGGGATGTCTCAGCCTTTAGAACTGTGAGCAATAAATCCCGTTATTTACGAAAGCATAGCCTAAGGTATTTTGTTACAGCATCTTGAATACACTAAGATAGTGACTTCTGGCATCTTTTCTAAAATAACCAAATATGGGGCAATAGCTACAGAGTCTTTGCAGAAACATAGGAGGTGACTGGAGAATTTCCCAAATAGACAATTGGATATTCTCTCATCTATAAAATTTTATAAAGTGTATCAGTTGGCTATCACAAAAAAATTGTGCAAAAAGACTACCTGGATAACTAATAGATGAAGTAAAAATAATAAAAAAGAAACCATGGTCAACTTCCTGTTCTCTGCTCTACAATACACAATCCTGATGTTCCAGTATCTATATCAGGATCAGTATAATTTTTATATTTTATTATATTTTTTCCTATGGAATTTATAATGCTATCTTTAAAGAACTGTTTTCCAAGTCAGATTAGGGAATACTAGATACAAACCGTGGAGAAAGTGATATTCTTTGGATTAAATAGTACAAATTGGGGTGTGTGTGTGTGTGTGTGTGTGTGTGTTCATTTGTGTGTG